TCCCTCCACCACCACCAATGTGCAGCATCCACCTGGATAATTTGACGGCAGCCATAGTGCGCCAGAACGCTCACCACACATCAGCTATCAGTGGGGAGGAGAGCAGAGTAATGAAGCCACTTCATAGATGGGGATTATTAGGAGGCCAGGATTGGTAAGGGCCAGTGGGAAAGTTGGCCAGGACACCAGGGTTTCACCCCTACTCTTTTTGAGAAATGTCCTGGGACATTTAATGACCACAGAGAGTCAGAACATCAGTTTTACATCTCATCAGAAGGATGGCACCCTTTTTTACAATACAGTGTCCCCATCACAATACTGGGGCATTAGGACTCACATGGACTGCAGGGTGAGAGCCCCCTGTGGCCCCACCAACACCCCTTCTATCAGGAACCTTAGGTTTTCCCAGGAGGTCTCCCATCCAGGTTCTGACAAAGCTCACTCCTGCTTAGCTTCAGTGGGTTGCCAGTTGTGAGTTGCAGGGTGATATACATGTAGCTGCTGGCTGAGAATGTCACTTGGCTTCCATAGCTCCTGTCTCCAAGAGGCACTGCAAACAGTGAGCACAACCTTCTTCCACTCGTAAATATCTTTCTCACAAATGACATCACCTTCAGTTTTCCCAGCAGAGGCAGCCTTGGCAGCCTCCTCCACCACCAGTATGTTTGTGGACCGCAATGAGGGCAACGCAGCCTGCTGCAGCACCCAAGCCAGTGCTCAGTCACCAGAAGGGCTTCTGTACTGCCACTCCCAGCATAGGGAAGATTTGTCTTGTCTTTAGAATAGTGCTTTTCACTTAGAACAGTGCTCTGTTTAATGTTGAGTACAAATGTTCCTTTATTCAATTTTGAAATTAAGACAAGAGCGGAATCATTTTGAGTTTTAGAGTTCTAGAACTTATCATAGTCTTATTTTTTTATAGCAGCCATTTTAACATTGTACTGCAGTTTAATTAAACAATGTACTGTATAAGCATTACACCACCATATGTTACATAGAAAATAAAGGAAACACTATACACTACATTAAAGTTTAATGTTAGTCATTTTCTATTTTAGAAAATATAGTATTATGACCTGATGTTTATATATCTAACCCCCTGTTAAACAACAACATTCTTATGATGTATCCCAGAAATATTAATTAAGACAGGTTCAGGAGCCAAGTCACCAAGAGCACTTCCATTATAAGGCAAAAAACTAGCCTGGTTGCTTTGAAATGATTTGTTAAGCACACATACAAGCTATTACCAGTGTCCTAGCTCCACCTTTGTAGCCCAATGTACAGTATACTTACAAACTCCCAAACTCTGTTATAACTGTATGTTGGCTAGACAAGCCATGGTTTTTTACCTCTGAAAGCAACAGTTTACTAATTGCTCAAGAAAACATTCCTCTCTTTTTTCTCCTTTTTTTTTTCGTGAAGTAGAAATGCAAAAGTCCTTCTACCAAAAAAATGAAGGGCTATGATTACAACGGCCTTTTATACCATGAGAAGCAAGGAAATCACAAACAGCTGAGGAAGCCAGATTATCAGTGGTTCCTTCGTCTTAACTGGCAATGCATTGAAACAGGACAGGGGCAACTACAGATTTTAGAACACGGGGTTATAGTGGTTAAAAGCTTCTGAAAAACTATTGGGTCAAAATAAATCCTCTCTATAACCATGCCCCCCATTGTGCCACACCATATACATAGTAAGTATATAGTAAAAGGTATGTACAAGTTCAGTGTAAGGGATTCCAAAAGTCGGACGATACGAATATAAATCGTGACTTTCTTTTCATATATCTACGTACGTAGTGGTTTCTAAATGAAATCACTGTTACTAGTACTCATTTTGGAATTACACATTTTCTGATAACATTTTGGAGGATCGACTTTTTGCAAATCTCCCACTTTATCCCACTTGTCTTGGTCAATGCATGTCTGACTTAATTTAATAGTGTCCCTTAGGGCAAAATCACAGCTGACTTCTTTCACAAAAGGAAAGGGAGACAATCAGTAAAATGTACAAAAAAAAAGAAATAGCTAAAGTAATTTAAAAGCTACTTTTAAATTCTCTTAATCAAAAATACAGAATAATTGTTTTTAATTTTGTAGATGCAAAGGCTTCTTAGGTTCAGTGCTTTAACAGCAAATCTGGCGTTCATGAAAAAATAAATAGGAATGCTGAGATGATGAATGAAAACTCTTGGGATGGAAAGCTTTCAAGGTTGCAGCTGTGCTTCATTTGAAAATTAAAATCCATGTTCCTTAATGTAGAACTTCCAAAAAAACAATACGTGCAGTGTTTGTTGCCCCCACATGTACTGTATACACCTCAATCCCCACCCATGACTTCAGGAAAATTCAAAGCCGAAGAGATTAACCAAGTCAATTAACCAATTTCATACCGGGAATTACTGTATGAATAGGGCAGCATGGTAGCACAGTAGTTAGTATGGTGGCATTGCAGTGCTGGGATCCCTGGGTTCAATTCCTGGGGTGTTGCCTGCATGGAGATTGCACGTTGTCCCTGTTTTTGCATGGGTTTCCTTTCACAGTCCCAAACCATTCTGGTAGGTGAATTTACAGAATGTCTGTGTATGCCCTGCAATGGACCGTCCAGGATATATCCCGCCTTGTGCCCCTTGCTTGCTCTGGCTTCCCCCACAACCCTGCATTGGATAAAGCAGTTTAGAAAATGGTCAGATGGATGAATAATGAATGAATCTCCTCAGACTCAAATGCAATCCATGATGAAAAATAAAATTCTGAAAATAAAATTAGGCCGAGTCATTTTTCAGGTATGGTGAACGAACATACTATTTGTATGAGAGCTACATTCTTCACCGTCGATATTTAATTCCTAATTAAGTTTTATGTTGAATTGAAGATATTACTATTACTTAATATGGAGAAACATGCTGGTTAACCAAGTGTTTTGTTTTAACAAGGTAATATTACAATTTTACCTTTATTTTCACTACTGACTATACAGTATATTTGCCATGTTTCATGTTTGAGAACTGTTTACCCTAATGTAGGATTTTATGCCACATTCATTTTCTGTAGGATAAATAACATACAGGGCAAAACAAAAATCAAGCTTTCTTGCCAGGAATACAAATGCCTTTATGTTATCTGGAAACAAATGATAAACATATATATGATAAACTTCCCTGTGATGTATGAAAAATTTGAGTTATCACATATATTAGATACTGTAAAATACATATGAGATGGGTTGCACAATAGCCTTTGTATTTCTTAGCTTTCAACCATAAAACAAGCAGAAGGCTACCAGCAGATGCTGCTGTTGTTTCATCTGAGACTGCATTTTTCTATGTGGAAGTTCTTTACTGGTAGAATGGATGAGGATCTCTTCACATGAAATACTTCACATCACTTCAACACCAAGGCACAGTAACAAATGGTACTGCAAAGTTTCTGACCCCGTTAAATATGATGAATTCAAAATCCAAACAAAAGACTCACTGAATATAACAGAAAGAAAAATCTGGCTCTTGCCAAGCTCCATTTTAAAAACCTGGACACAAATGTACAGTACATTACCAATTCACTATTAAAAAAAAAGGACTTTCTGTTTTTGTTGCTACCAGGAGTAACAGGCCACCTTCCACCAAATCCTAACTACCTAGTGAGAGTTTTTTTTTATAAACGTGTTCGTCCAGCCATTATTGTTTCCTTCAATAGTGATTCCCTAGTACGCATTCCAAACATCCAGTTTAATTATAATCCAAGATTAAAAATGGTACATATTACAAATTTGAGGATTTTAGGCACCAGATCTGACAGCTGGGTAATTACTTGTTAACAAATTTACAAAGAAGTATTAATTGACTGTCATATTACCAGGCCCTAGTGGCTATCCCTTTGTCATGCACACACAGCCAGGGCAATCTATCACATTTCCATTTCCATTTCCATATCATGTTCTGCTTTTCAATTTATTACTATAATGTCTTCATAATAATGATAAGCAACTATAAATGTATGGTATTGGCTATCTTCATGTGCTAAATTTGTTTTTACACCTTGTTTTTTTCCGAACTTAATTCAGTCTTAATTCAGAATGTCTTTAAATACTTAATAAAAACAGTATTGGAGGTATCTCCAAACTCACTCCTGGAGTGCCAATGTCCAGCAGATCTTATCTAGATCTAGATAACCATAAAATAATACATTTACAAAGATGTAACAGTTTGATCTAAACAATTGTTGGTGATTTGTTTAGGTAATCTAGGTTTCATTTCAAACAGATAGTCAACTATCAATTTGTTTAATTAAGTATATTACTTGCTAGGTAGGGCAATAACTTGTATTTCCAGTGTTTAGAAAGAAGTGAATTAGTGAATGGGACATACTAGAATAGAAACAAGTTTGTTTCAGGAAACAAGGTTGAAGACCCCAACTATATTGGATTGATATGTCTCAGTAAAAACCTGAGATGATTATTAAAAAGGAAAACAAAGTGACTAAAACCTGGAAAAGCACAGTCATACTTTTCAAAAAGTTTGAACATTCTCCAAAATCCATTTCTTCAAAATTTGATATCGGACAGATGCAATCAAATGATTGTGATAAAATGCATATGCTTTTGTATTGTGACATGGTTGTATGAACAAAATCATACTTGGAAGAAATGGAAAGAACTGTTACGACTACACACTAAATCTGTCCACGTTAATTGCACTCATTACCTCATTTTCCAATCACGTCCCTTTCCTCCACTATTAAAACTTCTAGTTCCCACACTCACTTGCTCAGTATTTGAATTACTTGCTTGTCAGTTTGATGCTTGCTTGGTTAATCTCTCACTGTGCATTTTACTTTGAATGATTATCCTGGATTTAGACCTCTCCCTTTGACCTTTGGATTCTGCCCTTTTGGATTATGCTCCTTGGACTTGTTTGCTTTCCTGCATTTTAACATACACTGAATAGGGTCCAGCTTGTTTTTCGACATACAGTCATTACATAATACCAAGCCTGCACAATGTACCCTGCAGACAACCAACCAAATTTTTCAATTTTCCAACAACATGCACAGGCGTTAGCCCCAGCTCCAAGCCTCCATGTAACAACTTCTGGGGCACGTTTCTTAATTCCCCTTGTCCCCTCCATCCCCGGCAATTCTCCCTCCACCAACCACCACTGCACCGGTCCCTGCTGCTGCAGCTGCACGCCCAACGATCACTGCTTCAGAGAAGTTCGATGGGAAGCCCTAATCTATCAATTCCGTTTAGGCCTCTTGGAGGACATCAGAGACCACCTGTTACTGATGTCCACTTTCTCCCGGTCACTGCATATTCAGGTGAGAAGGGCAGAGCGCCACCAACACCATAGATTGCCACAAACACTTCCCTCCTCCTCAGCCCCCAGGGAACCCGCAGTCACACATCGACACCATACCCCAGAGGAAATGGACAAACGCAGGTGTGAGGGCCGCTGTCTATATTGCGGCTCTATTGAACCCCTCCGACCCGCCTGCCCCCTCTGATTGGTTACTCCTCCTCAACACACAACCTCCACTAAGGTCAGTAGCATTGTCATCCCACAGCCAACCTAGGGTTCCTGTATCCAGGCAACCCTATCCTGGGATCACGCTCGGTTTCACCTCTTAACTTTCCTTGAAAGTTAAAGAAGAAATCCTGGCATGGAGTCCCCGCTGCCACATTGACTGTTGCCGTCCCCCGGTAAGAATCTCTGCCACTTTCATCTCCTCTGCACCCTCCTCTGTTATCTCACCTCCATATACAGATCTCAAACAAGCATTTTGTAAACAGGAAGCCCTTTCTCTTCCTCCACATCACCCTTAAGATTGCACAATAGATCTGTTACCCGGAATTGTTCCATCCAAGGGGCGGATCTACCTACTCTCCTGCACGGAATTGGAAGTCATGGAGAACTACATCCAGGAGTCACTGAAATCTGGTGTATGTCACCCACCTGCACCGGATTATTTTTTGTCGAAAAGAAAGACAGCTCTCTCCATCCTTGTATAGATTACAGAGGACTAAATAGTATTACCATTCCCAATTGATACCCCCTACCCCTTATACAGTACCTGCAGCTCTCGAGTCAGTCTGAGGCGCTATGCTCTTCACTAAACTAGACCTACGGGGTGACTACAACCTTATCCATATTAAGGAGGGGTGACTAGTGGAAAACATCCTTCATGACCACTCACAGGCATAACGAGTACCAGGTCATGCCGTTCGGTCTCGCTAATGCACCTTCAGTATTTCAGGCCTTCAAAATTATATCTTCAGAGACATACTCCATACATTTGTCCTCTAGATGACATTCTCATTTTTTCCAATAATATTCAAGATCACACTTGTCATGTTCGTGAAGTCCTATCCCACCTGATAAAGAATAGATTATATGCAAAATTCAAAAAGTGTGTCTCCCATTCCCCAAAAATTCACTTCTTGGGCAACTTCCTTTCCCTCCAAGGAGTTGAGATGAATGCAACTAAAGTGGTGGTCATAACTAAAGGGACTGGCTCACACTGAGGAATCTGAAACAGATCCAGCGATTCCTTGGTTTTGCCAAATTCTACCTCTGCTTTATACGTAATTTCAGCTCTGTGGTTGCACCCATCACTGCCCTCACCCGCAAGAGCCTCAACGTCGGGAAATGGAACCCTGAAGCCCACCAAGCCTTCCTAAGGCTGAAGGACCTTTTACCTCAGCCCCACTCCTCCGGCACCCCTACTCCACAAGTCCCTTTGTGGTGCAGGTGGACTCGTCTGCACACGCAGTTGGAGCCATACTATGCAATGCCATGGCGATAAGAAGATCCTGCGTGTTCTCCTGGAGGCTGACCCTGGCGGAGGTAAATTATGATGTGGGGAACCGCAAGCTCCTGGCAATCAAACTGGTGCTAGAAGAATGGAGACACTGGCTGG